TTAGAGGCTTGTAAACTCTCCTGACCAAATGTACAGGGGTCCTAGGTTCCTAAGTCCTTCTTTCAGACTCACAGGCTGCTTAGAGATGTGAAAAAACCCCAAAACAGTGCTTTACTTTCACAGCTTGGCACGCCCTCGCACCAAACACAGTGTATGCCCAGAACACATGTTGCGTTAGTTTAACCCAGCTTGCCCAAAGTCTGTATAGACTGGGTGCTTCAGCAGGGCTTTCGGGTGTTATCTAATAGCTGACTAAATCAGATTTAGATAAAACTGCTAAAAGAATTCTGCTGAAGCACCTGATCTATACAGAAGCTGCGGAGCCAGGTCAAACTAATGCACTTCCTCTTCTGCTTAAGTACTGTTCCCCCCTCCAGTGCTCTTAATGAGTTATTTTGAGGTCACTGTATAGATGTCTCTTCAACCTGCCACTTTTAATACTAGTAGTTAAACTTATTTTAGGATTAACATTGTGATAGTACATGAAGATGGTACGTCCTGGTGATGTTCCCTGATCCCTGCTGCTATTTGTTCCTTTGGCAGCACTGATAGGAACTGTTGCCAATCCAGCCAATGGCCAGGAGCTTAGTTGTTAATTCACAGCTATGTGTTAGAAGAACCTCAGGTAGCAACTAATTACATGGGTCCAATCCTATTTAATCTGAAAGAAAGGTTTTACTTTGAATGCGAGAAAAAGACAGGATTTCCCAAGGCCAGCAATTCTAGCGGTTCATCCTCTGTGGTTTAGAGTATTTGTTTTGCTTTTTTATGTTCACAGCTTGTGAAACTGTATAGAAGGAATGCAGCTTTGCCAAACTGGCACCAGTTTGTATTAAGTTGAAACTCATCAGCAAAATCAAGATGAAGGGGAGTCTTGTTCTTACACAAGACTCTTCTGAACTCCCCTCTTTTATTAATTATGCCCCCCTCCTAGCTACAGAAGCCTGCGGAAAATAAATGTGAATGCAACCACACCCAGTAACATATTCAAAACACTTATTTAATTCTCCGTTATCTACTCACAGTTTATTACAGGTTAATAAGAAATCATTTTATATTTAAACTAAAATGATTTTAAATTGCTTACGAACAAACTTAAAACTAGTCTTTAATTTTTAAATTTATTGCAAGCAGATACATGTCTTCTGCTTATATAATCTACAGAAAGGTCCAAAATATAAATGAATAAAGACAAGTTATATTCAAGTATCTACAGAAATGAAAGTTAAAAATATAGCACTGAAAATAAATTTTACAGTAATGGATGATTATTTATTCACACTTCAACAGTTTAGATCAGGTAAATGAAGTGTAATGGGATAATCTAAGCATTAGGTTTGAAGGCTGATTTATTTTCAAATAAATGCACCTATCATTGTACCACTGAAAATAATGTCAGTATTTGGTGCTGATGACTACAGACATCTTTGATGTTTAATGCACTGATAACTACTCCCGTTGCTCCCAACAGCACTTTTGCAGATTCTACTTTACATTATATAATGAAAGGACATTTTAAATGAAGTGTGTATATACTATATATTTTAAGTCAGAAATAACATATTAAACTCAATATATTTTCATAAGATAAAAAAATTAAAGCTATATAAACTGATTTGTAGATCATTCTGCAAAGTAGAATCATGTACTTTTTCACTTTCATAATACTTGGACAAATTTCCATTAAAGCTTTGTTAACAGACAGTAGCATGATCACAGTGATCTCGCTGGCTTTCAAAAATAGTGTAGGTGCAATTCAACTATTTTTTTTTCCTTTTCATTTCATGCCAGTGGGATCAAGACAAACAGGTTAATGCAACCAAGAAAAACTGTAAGCTTTCACACTGAGCAGTTGAACAAACAATATTAATTACTGTACACCATAAAATGAAAATGATTCCAGTATTTTGCTACAAGCCACTTCAGGAATACACACACTTGAGTGGCTACAAAGCTTGAAATACTTTCTAAGACTTCACAAACATTTAGTTAGTGCCTACCAATTTCAAGACATTTATAAAAGCAGTTATGGAGACATTTTGTTATTAAAGCTGCAACAGTTTAAACAAGGCAAGTTAAGAAGTTATATAGTTTATCATTACGGTTTTTCCTATCCTTACAGTTCTTTCATCATTCAACAGCCTGTCAGCTTTCCATGTCTCAGTGATAATACAATCTTCTTGTATTCTTCAGACGTGGCTCTTGCATTTACACCTATGTATTTTTCCATCCATTTACAATGAAACTCTGACTTTCGTTAATATCTGCTGCAGTGGACTAGGTTTGCATGATAACAGTAACAAGGGACTGAAGCAAAGATTACCCAGGAAAATTGTTTTTTGTAGTTTATGCTTTTTTCATTTAGATGGTATGTTTTAACAGATGGATAAATAGTACCAACTATTTAACTAAAAGTATTGCTAAGTCAAAGCAGAAATACTTGTTTAAATGCAGACAATCTTCCTCCTTTCTAAGATGACAAGTTTAAACAGAATTATTTGTCCTTCAAACACTTTTCTAAGTGTTTCATCCTGTATACCATCTCTATTATTAATTTCTAAGAAAGAGTTGGGCTGTAAGAAGTTTGTAGTAAACTTTTGTTAGTAGGCAGAGCAGCAATGCAGCATTTTCAAAAACATCAAGCAAGAGTCTTCTCATTTAAGGCTAAAAGATGGAAATGAGAAAAAAAAGTAAAACAGCAGGAGGTTTTACTAAAAAAAAATCATCATAAAAGTATAGCATAAGAAAGAGTAAAACCCTAATCACTACTAGCACTAACAGCATCAAAACATCAGTAGTTGATACAGTAGACTTCTAATTTTAACATTCATCAGAATTTTAACATTCAGCCACAATTCCACTGTAAGCTAAATTTAAGTGGCCAAAACTCATAGGTATAAAAAAGCCTTTAAAACATAGACTTAAAAAAATTGAAATGGTGTGTTAACAAAAGTACACATAAAACAGATATATAAATAGCTACAGTATGAAAAATATTTCAGTGCAAAGGCAATTTTAAGATTTCTAAAAAATATGTTACAAATAATTTGTTAACTACACACAGGAAATTTGTCACCACTACTGGTATAAAACATATATTAGGAATTTAAAATATATACACCAGTGTTTTATGTAGGGGACAGTTCTAACTGACCAGCATTCAAGTATGTAGTGGCAAATATATATAAATATAATATATATATATGTATATATATAATTATATATTACAGTATGTGACCAATATCATGGCATTGTTTTAAACTAAGAAGTGCTACATGGTAAATGGCAAAAATGACTTAGTATCTTTATACAGGGTAGTGGATGAATGTGTGGTAAGCATTGCCATATTTTTTCTTCTCTCATCTTTGGTATACTGAAGTTTTCACAACTTAAAAATTTCTATCTGTTTTCCCCAGGGGATGTTAATTTTCACAGGGAATTAATTGAAAACATTGTGGTAAGTGTTTCCTAGTGGACTGAATTTACTTTCATTTAAAAACTCTAGTGAAGTTTGAAGTTATTTCATACATAAAAGCAAATACAAACTTCCTTCACTATGCCAATAGCATTAAAAAGGGTACAAACAATGCCTTGGTCAAGTTCTCTAATAAAGGCAGCAAATTTGATCCCAAATATTTTGTTTTCCTATAGAGAAAAAAAATTTAACTGTCTGCCAGAAACATTTTTTAAAAGATACACTTGTTCACCTGTTATAAACATGGGGTACAATAAAACTAATAAGTATTAGATTCGTCCTTCAGATGTTTTTACACCCCAAATAAAACACTGGACTAAAAAAAGCTGGAGAAGTAGACATCTAGTAGTAAAATTAGTGCAAGCTAAAATGAACTCTGCCGACTGCAGAGGAAGTGGATGTACAAGCTGGCTGGAATGCCTAGTAAACAATGCATACAGATGCCTGGTAATCATTGTATCAGAAATGTGGTTGAATTGACAACAGATGTACGCCATCTAGTGGTTGTCTCTCAAAAAGATTAACAAGTGCATACAAACTGCTTTATGAGAACATACTTCTTCTACTGGATCCATTAGCTAGCAGTTTACCTCACAGTAAAATGGGAAAAAAACTGAAACAAAAATCAAAGAACAAAAATCCAGATATTAAAACCATCTTATTTGGATACTATAAAAGACTGAAAATAAGATTTTTTTTCATAGCATGGGCAGGAAATAGAAAAAAAGTAAAACCAGTACTTCTTAACACATATACTTAAGATTTACATGCAGATGTTGCCTTTCCATAAGGATCTCTAAAGTGGTGGGAATGCTGGTTAAATTTACTTATTTTTTAGAAATTCCCCAAAACATTTTAAGTTTAATTATTCCATTCCGTATTTGTTTACGAAAGTGTGAATATTGGTGGTCTGACTTATTTGACAGCCAGCTTGACTCCAGAAAGTGTGGACCTATTCTAAGCAAAATGATTCTATCTTTCCACAAGGAAAGAAAACTAACTCAAAACCATACATAGCCCTGATTTGGCCACTTACAAGGAAGTGAATATTAGAGGGAGTTTCTTGAAAGCAGGTTTGCACAGAGGAAACACCAGTTTGTTCTACAGAAAGAGCAAAGAAAGAAAAAAGGACAGAGAAAATAAGAACCAGCACTTGTTAAATATGCTCTAAGTGACTTTCACCAAACAGATCTGAGGTCACATTGCTTCTGGCTTTAAATTAAAACTGTTGATCTCAAAATGTAGGTCACTGACTGAAACTATACACTTCAAGTAATAAAGGAAATGACTAAAGATGACAGAAGCAATAAATGCACAAAAGTCTTGACACAAAATGAAGATCATTTCTAGTGCTTTCAGTCTTACAGTGCCAGACTGTGCAGGTTGTTCGTTGCTTCAGCAGTTCAAGACAAAAATAGACCAACAGGCCTGGAAGGATTCATACTTCTAGCTCTTGATCCTGTTAGTCTGAACTTTACTTCAGACGGCCAAAGCCAAGTATATTTGAATATGGGTCTGTGACATGTTTGTTTTCCGTATTTGCAAAAAAGAAATAAACAAAAAAATACAGTTCTTAAAGGCTTGAATTGGTGATCTGTCATACAGATGTTTCCAAACCTGACCCACTGTAGCAGTAACTTGCACTGGAATTGCAAGGCTTATTTGAATAGCCAAAGACAGATGGAAGTATTGAATAATCAATGCCTCTCCAGTGCGTAAACATCATTTTTTTAGAATGAGAATTAGACCTTCTTGGTGGGGAACTGCTGCAGTCATTGCTCCTGTATCTGGGGCTTTTCATAGAGGCAAGAGGTGTGAATTCTGAAATGTGGTCCCGATGCTGCCTTGATGCATTCTGTCAAGAAAACGACAACAATAAAAATAAACATACAGTAAGCCGGCTATATAAATAGTGTAAAGCCTGCTATGTTAATTTCTTAGTAGTGTTATGCCCATGGAATCCTCATAATTCTCAGTAAGCCACCACTATCTGGCTTGCTTGTTCCAAGCAAAGGTGTACCCATCCTCCCTCCAGTTAAGCAAGTGACTAATATTTACACAATTAATTTCAGATGAGACTGAGAAACCCTGCAATTCTTTATATATAAACTGCTGAAGCTGACAGTGGACTCAGAGAACTGATGAGAATACAAGGATCGTTTGCAATTTGAGATTTTTTTATTTAATAGGACTAACATATTTTGCACTGATGCTTTACACATATTGGCTAAACCCATTTATCAGTCTACAAGGAACATTAAGGGGACAGAATAATTTTAGCCATTTTGCTCAATATTTCCAAAGACAGAGAATTCTCCTCAACTAATTTATGTTAGCAGATGAGAATGCATTGTGGTTTAAGTGCACTAGGCTTTTACATCCAAGCAAGATTAGATATTACAGCTTGCTTAGGTTACATATGACATCTATTTGCAATCTAATACTATTACATGTGAAATACTATCACAGCCTAATGATTCACTAATATTATTCTGTACCATCAAAAAAAGAAAGGCACCAATTTCACACACTTGGCAATCTCTACTCAGGAAATACTCAGGCCAAAAATAACAGCGGAGTTGAATGACAAGACTTAAGTGTATGTGCATGGATTAAGACAAAATAAGTAAAGTGATTTCCCAAATGAGGGTATCTGTTTTCCTTAACAAATGCACACATAATTAACAGTTACAGGTTATGGAAGTTATGTGGCTGCATTCGAGAAAACAGTACACCCAGGGTGTGTCTACCATGTTGTTAGCATGCAGCAGTAAACTCTGCCATGTACTGCACCAGAGTTTATTGCTCCCAGGAGCACCATTTGAACATGTGTCTGGAACCACAGCATGTTGAGCCCAGTAGGAACAGCTCCAGCTGTCAGGCTAACTCCGCAAGCCCCCTGCCAGCTGGGGCTGCTCTGACTTGACTCAACATACTGTGGAGGGGCTGGCTGGAGCACGAGGGTGCTCCAGTGTAGGGCAACCTAGCAGGCAGCACCTGTACTGAAGTACCTTTGTGCCCCAGCCAGCCATGTCAGTGTCTACACGTGTAGTGCTGCGTAGTAAAAAAACTCTGCAACAGGGTAGTACAAGTGGGGTTAATTAGTCTACTCTGTAGTAAATGTCTCGTGGAGATGCATCCCTTAAGAATTATTCAAACCAAAGCTATCAATTATTCTCTCATTAAATACTGAATTAACTAGCATTCCTCTATTCAAAACAAAAAAGGGCAAAACAAGGTTAAAATCAAACTAAATTTCAATCATTCTACCCACTTCTTGTTCTGAAAATTTGCCTAATAGTTAACACTATCTTTAATAACAGTAACACCCTAAAAATACTCTTTTATGAACCCAAGAATGCACAAAAGGTTTTCTTTTTAACTCCACAATATAATCATGCTTTAAAGGGAGACATGAAGCCCAGATGCATTTCAGGGACTTATAGAGACCAGAGGTAGACATTAAAAAAGAACCCTTTTCGCAGATAAGTCTCATAGATGTCATGTTATCAGGAATTATTTTATAATGGTTTTAAAGAGATTTTAAAAAATGGATCTAGAACTACTTTTTATTCCTCCATCTGTAAAACTAAGTGCCTTAGTTACCATAAATCTCTCTAAAAATAGTGAAAAGTACATTTTGATGTAAACGGTTAGAACTTATTCTCCTACCAGGGTCTAAATGGTGGCCAGGCATCCTAGTGGCTTGTTTACACTGGTATGATAGGAGGCCTCAGCAAGAAGTGGGCAGAGTATACCTCACCCATACTCCATTTACTTGCATATATAGGTATACAGCAAACCCAGCAGCTTGTCAGTGAGGATATGCCAAGCTTGTCTGTCTGCATCCACTCTCATGCACTCAGTCTTCACCATAAATGAAAGCAGGTGCTGGGAATGAGCCAAGCAGCTTCACTGGTGAAATTCCAGCATTGAAGTACATCAGTGAACACAAGAGAGCAGCATGTTGGTGCCTGCACCCTCATCAGGACAGCTTCCATTGGAACGTAGACTAGCCCTAAACACCTAGAGAGCAATCTCCTTCCATCCTACTAGAGTCCCTGAAAAAATACTGATGCACCTTTCTTGGCACTGCACCATCACCTTATCCTTAAGGCTAAGTCACAAAAAGTGATAAAGAGTGCTCTTAGGCATTTCAGGGGTGAAACAGCATTTGGTCCTACATGTTTAAATACAGTTCTATTCCACAATGGTGAAGTCTCTGGAAAACAGTTAATGCAAAGAGTGAGTGGTCCTAATCACTTTTTCTGCCTTAGTCCTAAGGCTAAGATAAGGTGTGCTACCCAGGTGGATGCATTAAGGATTTTTAGGGACTGAGCAGGGTAGAAGAGGATCACATTTAGATTCCCAAGTGCTACCCAGATGTCTAATATATTAAATAAGATCAGACCTCAAAATATTGGGATTCACAGTCTGCTATCCTGGCAGCTTCCAGTGCTAGCAATATGCTGGGAAGCTGTGCATCCCCCACTTATCAATATTATGAAGCTCCTGTTCCTAGCTCTACACAGTCGCTAAAAGAACGCAGGTGCCCTTCCTCCACATGCCTGCTCTGCCCCCCTATAACTGCTTCACATTTCCACTCACTCTGAGTTTGGCCATTGGTCCTGTTTTATACCAGACCTTTGTCCTCTGTCCATTTATGAATGAGGAATGGACAGCAGAAAGTCCTGCTTTTCAGGTCACTGATAAAAATACATATTAATGTCTTGTCCTTGCAATTTTATTGGCTGCGCCTAGAAGTAGGGTGGTGCACAGCTAGGAGGAGAGGGTTTCTGAGCCAGTCACAGTGCGAGGGAGGCAGGAAGGGAGGTGGTAGCCCCACCCCTTGCTGCTGATTGGGCAAGGTGGCAGTCCCACCCCTCACTCCTGGGCTCTCCCTCACTGAAGGGCTGTCCTGTATTCTGGGGATGTGTCAGTGGCTACCCGACTCTCTCTCTATATACCCTGCCACTTTCCCCCTCCCTTTAGTTTCCCACAAGATATTTTCTAAATCAGCAGAGGGTATGGGGACTGTAGAAAAAAGTAAAGGAGAAAGCAGATATGTGCATTAGCCCAAGTGGAGCGTACTTGCATGAAAAGGCTCGTATTTGTAAGACTAGAGAGATGTGAAGGGACAGGAGCTGGGACAGGGAACTCAGAACCTGAATCCAGATGTCCCTGTGCTCTCCACCCCCACCACCTCACCGTGCCTGACAATTCTGTTCTGGCATGCAGTGGAAGCGAGGCAGCAATGCCATGAGGAATTCACCACTGCAGTGGCACTTGGGAACTGAATGAAGTTCTAAGCCCCTGCTGGGACCCCAGCACAAAATTTTCTCCTTACTTCTTCCAACTTCTTGGCCTCCCTCACTAACTACCCTTAATGTGGCCACCAGATACCCCTTGCACCCCTCTACATTTCCACTCACTCATCCTGAACCTTTCCTTTCCAACCTCCTTAGCTGTAGCGACATCACGAGAAGACTGTCCTAAAACCTAATTAAACTAACACCTGTTTAATCTGGAACAATGCACCCACTAAAACAAAGTGTTAACTATAATTAAATGTCCGGTTATAGCATGATGTCACTACAGGGTAGAATAAAGGTTGTGTTTTATGTATTTCTGTACCCTGAGCAGGTTTGGATTTCTTCAGTGTTAAATCCTGAACTGCAAATTTTTTGCTTATACAATGGCTGCTTGTCTTGGGGACAAGTACAACTTTCTTAAATTCCTGCTATCTGAATTCCATCTCAGTGGGCAGAAATACATACTACAACAAGATACACAATGCAGGTAGCTTATATGGTGATTTTTTAATCCCTAACTGCTAAGGTTATTTGTATACCTGTTGTCTTGCTTCATTGGCTACATTTAGTCTATATTTGTGTCTCAGAACCTGAGCTATAATGAATAATACTAATGGGCAAACTTACTTATCTGTCTCTGTCCTATGTATTCAGTACAGATAGTACAAACATCAGTAAAGATAGTTCATGAACACAGATGTGATTGTCATATAATAAAGATTTTCTCAAACCCAAACTATATATAGTCTATGTGGGCTCACTGGTCTTCATGACAGATTGCCTTGCCTTGCATTATTAGGTGTCAGAGAAATAAGGATCTTACCTGTGATATGAAACCTCTTGCAAAAAACTAGAATCTCCAAGAAAATTGTAATGATTTGATGTCAAAATAGATAAAGCACAGCAAAAACTCTGGAGGAAATAGTTTTAATTTTAAACAGCACAGCACACCCATAGAAGTGAGTCCAAACTGGCAACATGTACAATACTGTTACCTAGCATTGATCTAATTATGCCTCGGAAGCTGAAAGATTTCCTTCAAGAAGTGGCCCATCGCTGTTCGCCAGTGCATTTAGAGTTGTTTTATGTTTCATACTCTTCTGTAAGGATGAGGAAAAATACTAAGACATTTGCTGAATACATGAGGGAAATCTGAATGAATCTCTCAAGAAGTAAAGAACAGATCTCTAACTATCGTACCAATGTCATACAATGTGATATTTTCTATATATCTACATATATACATATTTTTTAAAAATAACAGTTATAGCAATGCTTATATTCCTCTATCCTGGGATTAATCTGAGCCCTGTTGCCCAACTGGTCTGACTTTAATCGTATTCTGAACTCAAATACAAAAATGCTGATTATTCTATCAAAGATACTTAAATTGTACCATGAGTAACTACTAAACTGACTCTGTATTTCCCCCCCCCCCAATATTCTTGGCTACTTGCAGTAGGAAGAAACCTTGTACTAAATTGGAGACTTCTTGAAGAGGTGATCAAGATCTTATAGACTCTGAGCTCTTCCATAGTGTCAAAACTAGCCATGAACGGGTTTAGTGACTGTTAGACAAATGTTTATTTGTGTGTGGGCTGCTCCCAACATGCCGAGCCATGCAATTTAAAGGAGAGAATGGTCTCGTATACAACTGTGCAGAACAACTACTGCGTTGAAAGGAAGGTAACGGTGCATCTGAAAGGTAATGCGGGCTGATGGTACAGGTAGGGCATTTTTAAGTACACCACTTAGAACATAGGGAAAGGTCAGAATGACCACCTATGGGTTCTCTTCCATGACAACTTTTACAGCAGGGGTGTCAAACATATGGCCCATGGGCTGGATCTGGCCTGCAGAGCCTTTCTATCCAGCCTCCAGACTATCCACAGGCCACTATGAATAGGGGGATGTGGCCTGATGCACAATCCAAGACCCCTGTGTCTTGGTGGAAATAGCAATTGGCGGCAGGAGGGAGAGTAAGGGTTGATACAGTTGCAGCCATGCTTCAACTGCTCTAGTGAAGACCTGTTGCCCTCCTGTGGCCTTACCTCCCAGCTGCCAGCCCCTGCTACGTAGCCTGTGGTGGAGCTGGAGCCGTCTCCGTGTGGTTTGGGTCAGAGCTGGAGCCACTGCCCCCACCACTGCTGTGTGCTCTGACCCACAGCTGCAGCTGTCACTGCCTCTACTTGCTTGTGCCATGGACTGGATCCAGCCCGTGAGGAGCCCACAATCCATATCTGGCCCAGGGTACAAAGTGAGTTGACACCCCTGTTCTACAGGATTCATATTCTTCAGCTACAGGATCCTGTCCTTTGGTTTTAATAGGGTAGGAGGCAGAGATACGAGAAAGATAGTAGTTTGTTGATCACTGACTTTTTAAAAATACTGTAGTTCAAGGTCTATGCTCATTAAAGGTAAGAACTATGCTGAGTCCCCAGAATTCCCTCCTAAACCAAAGTACTACTTTTGGCTCCTTCAGGAATAGCAAAGACCTCATAACAAGGTAGATATCCTGCCATTATGATGGAAGTGAAATACTGAACAAAAATACCAATCAGCAAACAAAATGGGAGAGAAAAGGTATTTTTAAGGGAAAAAACAAGTTATTCACCGTGTACACACAAAATGCTAGGACTGGCATTTGAGTTAGAAAAATGTTTTGGGTTACTGGAATAATGGTCAATTAGAGGCCAATAAAAAGTGTAAAGAAGGCAATTTTGAAGTGCTTTTACATTTTCCAGTGTTGTGTTGTCAAGTGGTAGAAATCTCTGCTGCTAGCAAGAGGGAAGAAAGAACAATGCAAGTGGAAATATAACAAATGAATGAAGCTTGTGTATAAAAAGGTCTTCTGTATACAATCAAGAGAACATACCACACATGCATAGTTTCCAAGAAGAAGACTAAATTCAGCTTATCTCATTTTGGCAAGCAGTCCCACCAAAGTTGTTGGGCCCACTGGTATGAAAGATGCAAGCAGGTTCTGGCATAAAATTATTCAAAACAACAGATTCCTCCAAAGCTTTTGCAGAAGTATTGATAGTTTTAGCCCAACAAAGTGAAGTTTGCATATACACCACTAAGAAAACCCTAAAAGTCAATCTAAAATGTGGAAGCCTCTATATAAGTTAGGGGTTTTTTTAATTTTTCAATGGTAACAATGGTAAATAGCTGTTCACCACACACAGGACTTCCTGTCAATTACATTAATGGTTAGAAACAAAAAAAAGTATCTTGGGGCAGAACTGATTTGTAGGGATTCATGATACGGCTTCCTACTGTAGCAGGAGACTGGACTTGATTACTCAGAATGTCCTGAAAGTCTTATGTTCCTTTTTTCAGCCATTGCAGAAGCCTTTAAAAGCATAGTTTAAGGTTTTATCCTTAAAGGGATGCAAAAAACTTAACTCACTGTTCCAGAAGCCAGAACAAATCAATATAAAATATTTCTAAGACAATTTTAGCTGAAATTTTGAACACTGAAATCAATTGCCTATATTTTTCCTTGCAATTTATACAGCTGCTATTCATTCGAATGGTCCTACACTTTTAAGAAAGAATTTATATTTATTACCTCCATCTATCAGAAAATATTAATATGAAGCCTGCAAAAGAACCAAATCTTTCTTACAGCTTTAATGGGACTGTTATTTCACCCTAAATGGTTTATACAAGGACATCTTTTACTATGCAGTTTATGTTTACTTCTTATTAATCTAAACATTTTGAACAGCATACATCTGCAATCTCGGGGGGGGGGGGGTCCCCCAGGATGATGTATAGACTTCATGTCACAGCATACAGTGAACATTTTTCTTTTTAAAAAAATCATGTTTGCCTGAAATAACTGCTGTAAAACAAAACATCAGAACTGCTGTATTTTCCTCACTGTTGTAGAGCACTGTACGGCTTAAAACCATAATTTCTATATTAAGACAGAAATAATGGCAAAACCACTATTTGATTGGTAAAGGGCTTGATTATGTCTGTGCGTGGTGAATAGTGTATTTTCTGTCACTTACAATGAAAGCATTCATTGCATTGTGCAACACATTCATCTACAGAAACATGAATGCTTACAAATCTTAGATTGAAGCAGACAAATTATGTAAAATTAAATAATGAAAGTGACAGCTAATCACCAATGGTCAACAGATTCTGGAGTAGAGGAAAAATGTATACTGAAAAGTATTCTTCTGTAAAGTATAGTAGTTTATATGCGAATCAGAAATGAAGACAATGAATACGATAAACAGCTCTTGGTGATAAACGTTCTACCATCCTTTGGATGAAAATGGTTGAGCATGCAGAAAGGCAGAAAAAGTCACCTTTTGTTCCATTAGAAACTTAGACTGCTTGAAGTCTGAGAAAGCATAAAGATGGTGGACTGCTCAACAGAAAGGCACTGATGTTTAGTCTGATTTCCCCAGAAGATTGTAGGAAGTAACCGTGCACATCATTTATGTTTAAAGCAAGGTAGTGGTTATTTAGGCAAAGCAGGTTGGAAGACAGGAGGAAACAGCGAGAGGGAAGAAAGAGACACAAGGGATAAATCTGGTTAAAAGCTAAAAGATTTTTTACTGCATATTAAAAAATGAACATTGGCCTTTTTTCATTGCCATTGTCTGTTAATGTTGGAAAATGAACCAGTTGTAAAGCAGAGTGTGGGCTTAACACTGGCATTCTCATTATATATTTATATACCCTAGTGGGTGGATTTTTTTTTTAAATAACCCATTCTCATTCTCTCTCTTTAGACTTAAGTACAAGCACGCACAGCCTACATTGTGTGAGAGTGCAGATAATAAGGGCAATTTTCCTGTAAATATCAGTCACAAGCCAGAGTCCACTCAAAGATCTACACACAAAGCTTCTACACTCTAATCTGCATGGGCATCTTGGTTTGGCATTCTGCTAATCCTACAGATTTGGTTTTACCTCCTGAAATAGGGTATAGTCATAGCTTTATGCATGCAGGGAATGTAGAAAATGGCACTGACAACTAATAGATATGAAAGCAGAATGCCGCTCTTCTCCCTTGCCTAAATATATACTGTCTTCCCAGATTTTATTTTCCTAGGAAGGAAAGCACAATTATTTGCTTTGAATCTATTTAATTCCTTAGAAGGGGGCTTTGCATTGCTTCTGTAAAATAACTTCTACTGGTGGCCACTAAAAGGAATGGGGATAATAGATCTGAACAACAATCTTGTCATCCAGTGATGTGGTTACATATCTGTCTGCTTATACCTGAATATATTGCAAATAAATTGAAGATTTTGTTTTTAAATATTAATTTTCATTTAAACATTACTTGTGATATCTTTATAAATTTTAAATTCATGGTTTTATTGTAAAGGCCACAATATGTTAAGCAATGGTCACACTTCCTAGGAAAAACATATTACATAACCAGATTATTTAACATTATTTTAGCAATAATACACTACTTAATTATATGCATGTTATTTTATCTTTACAGACTGATTAAATAGTAAGCAAGCATATAGTGCTATCTTGCTGTAGTGGAGATATTTTTGCAAACTAATTTCAAGTAGATTTGGGTAAAACAACTTTCCTTCTGAATACTGGTTTCACATTTGACTTAGGAAGGACCTTTTAGTTGGCTTCTGTATTTTATACAGCTCTACCAAACTTGTGTAACTTTGTTATATTATGTGAAGCATAAACTAAAGCAAAAGTACACAGAAAATTTCAACCTAGAAACAATGACTGCAAACTTCTCACTAAGTACAAACATGGATTCTTATACTTCTTTTATTACTTCTAAAACTCTAGAAAGATCTAATTTTCAAAGATTCATAGTACATGCCACTAAATCTAAGAAAAATATTTTTACCTGGATTCTTTCTGTTGCTGTGGGCCACAACTGTCTGCATAAGATCTTCTTGAGTACATCAGGAAGAAGACTGATTATTATGAGCAGAATGATACCCAGCCATGCAGGCCCACTAGACAGCATCTGCATGAACACATAGTACATCCTTTGATAATTAAGAAAAGGCCTAGAGGGAAGAGATGAGAAGGAGATATACTTTAGTGGAACCTGATACCTGAAAGAGAAAAGTGTCACAGTGTTAAAATATAAAATATATAGCAGTATAAAATATATAGCAGAGCAGTGCAAAAGTTGCAGGATCAGATTCCCCAAGGTTCATTTTTCAGTTTGTCAGAATTCATCCGAGGTTCACTTGTGTTTCACATTCTAATTAACCAGAAAATACATGGAAAAACTCATTTAACTGTGAAACTTTACCTGGCTTAGTATCAAAACCACTGTAGCTTTTACAATTATTCAGCCTCAAAAGAGTAAGAGGGTGAGGAGTCAAGCCTGGTTCCTCGCACCTGGTTCCCTTCCTCCTTCAAAACATCTAGACTCACTCTTAATATTGCCAAACGCGAAACATTTAAAAAACAAACAAACAAACCCCAAATAACACCGAAATCTTTATATATTTTTTCATATTTGGGGCAACATGCCCATTCCCAAACTTGTGCAATCCCTAGGGTTAAAGTTTAGTCTTAAATGCAATCATAAAGTGTGATTTCCTTTCCCTAACTAGAGGGAACTCCACTTAACATCTTTTACCCCCAGGCCCATCCAAAGTTAGAACCAAATGCCTGGTTGTGGCAGCTGCATTTCTAGTCAGGCAGTGCTTCATGAATCAATTGACTTCATGGATCATTTATATTCTATCTGATCCCTTCTAAACTCTTGATTCCACAGGTGTTAACAATCCTCTCCTTTTTAATGGTCTCAATGTTCCAACAACCAAGGTACCCTTTTTGTTCCGCAATTCTGCCGCCTGTTAACTGCTCCTGGTAATGAAGCTCCTATTTCACAGCCCTGTAGATTGTTTTTAACCCATTCCAAGAAGTAATACTTGTTTTTGCTTCAATCTTCAGCTGAGTAATACAGTCTCAGGCCCCTAGCCATGATTTGTAAAGCTTCTAGTTGATTTTTAACTGGAGAAAAATATGTGTTTTATATGTGATGATGCACCTTTCTGTTTGCACCCTTGTCCCTTTTCAAAATCCAAGATCTGTCCATGTCCCCTGAGGTATGGAAACAACCATTTTGCGCTTGTCTACCCTCTTCCCTTCCTGTGTAGAGGGCAAGCCTTCTCACTCTCTCAAGGTGTGAACACACATTCTATGGAATAAACTTTTCTTAACTCAGCAGTAAAAAATGGAGTAGAAACACAATACACAGTTTTATCCTGGTGTAAAGCATGTCACTTCAAGGTCAATTACTCCCAAAGCAATGAGGAGTACCAATACTCTTTTCTAATATTTTTTCAATCCAGAAATATGAAGCTGGAAGAGTATCTCAAAACACATTTCCTCTTACATACATTTATTTTTATATTTGCTGAGAAAAAGATGGTCATAAAACATATGGACATTTTTTGAAATGTGAGTTTTCTTTTTCTGTCTTGTTAATTATGTATAGCAAACCTTATTAGAACATATCTATCACAAAAGAAGAAGAATACAAAAAGGGGAATCAGCAGCAGGCGAAGCAAAAATTCTTCTAACCTGCTCTATTTGTAATAAAGTCATAGATTTTTAAAACAAAGCAGCAAATAAAGCTCAAACACTTTGTAATAGAATCTAAGGACCAATAATTTTTCCTCTCTAAGGCTATTTCTTGAGCTTAATAGATGCAAAAAAGTTAAGTTTTCAGTAATCACCATGATTGATATGTTTAAACTGTAAGAAGCAAAGTACTGTTGGAATAATGTTGTAGCTGTGATGGTCCATGAAATATGTGAGGCATGGATTTTTGAGAGTGGTATCTTTTACTGCACCAATTGCACTGTTGGAAGAGACTTAGACAGTATTTTAATGCAGTGTATTATTTTTCAGATATTTCTTATGTGCCCTTCCTCAGGTCTCAGAAAGAAGCCAAAGGAAGGGCACTTTGTACCAGAAGCTCGTCTCTCTCAATTATACAGTTGATTTAATCAAAGCTATCATCACAAAATGCTTGATTTCCTGGATCACCACTGTTACAACAACACTCCAGCCCTCCAATATGTTTAAATTGATGACTTGAGTTGTACAAAATACAAAAGCTGAATTGAAAAGATCTTGGTTTATAACCTATTTTATATTTCTGAAATAACATTTGCATTTAGTAACACTCCAAAATAACAATTTACACTAGGTTCTCACCAGATAATTCCTCCCCAGAGTAAGGAAAAGATGATGTAGAACAGTAATGATCCCCAGATCACAAAGTGATTTATCCATGTCCAGTAGCGTGTATCTAGCGCAAGCTGAAAGAAAAAAGAAAAATGTGGTTATTATTTTAATTATTGGGAAGTGATAAAATACTCAGAAGAGATGGAGTAAAGTTAAAACCAGCATATTATTTCAAGAATTACGCTAATGCATTACCTAAAAGCTGTAGTGGAAACAAGGCCTTTCAGTTTCCATCACAGTTAAGAAAGTTCCCATACCTATTACCCAAGAACTAAACCTTACATTTCATAGTGATATCTAATATACATCACACCAAAAGCTTGAATATTACTTAGGAAATAACAACACTGGAATATTACTAGCAGCATGTTAAAAGATTGTCCTCCTTCCTGTTTCTCTTTAAAAGTAGTGTCTAAGGCCCCTGATGCACATTATACTTAAAGCATGATTAATTGCTTAATCACATGATTGACTGGCCGGGAACCCCTTCAGTTATGCGAGCCAACAGCCACAGGGGGGCAACAGGCACCCCCATGGCTGTGAGTTCTGACAGCTGATAGGGCTCCCAGCCACAGGAGAATAAATAACCAATGCAGGGGGAGCCTGGGCGTAATTCTGGGCTCCCACTACATTGGCAATATGGCATGAGGGGAACCTGATGCTCAATCCCACAATCACCATGCATGTGTGGCACCATAGGAGTGCAGTTGTTGGGATAAGATCTCAAGTCCCATTGCACCTTCTTTTTAACGTCTGTCAGTGGCCTAATTGTCACAGTGGACACTTGCATAAGATGGCTAAAAACTGGTAAAGGTAAACTACTCACTTTAACCATGAAAAGAATTAGGTAGCATTTTGTAAAAATTACTACACTGCTCTTTTTTCTAAGCTATTTGATTATATTTTACATTTTTATTTATGTCTACTATCCATTAAGTACAAGACTTTGAAACTCCAAAGGGAGCAATGTCTAACTATCCTCAAAGGCTGTAGATAAAATACTGTGTAGAATATAAATAGCATGGGGGAAATGGTAACGGTCTAGGAGGCTTCAAAAGTTTTAGTGAATTAAATATTAATATTGGCTATCTTACCTTTAATGTAACTGTAAATACGAGCACAGTAAATACCAGCGTTCCAAAAGTCCAGTTTCCAAACATCTATAAAAAATTGTTCAAACAGTTATAGGTAACGTATTCCCTTGCATATGATGAGCTATCCAGAACAATCTACTTAAGGATAACGCGCTCCGTTGTATTATGGTTATCTAGAAAAAACCATTTTGAAGACGAGTTTTACTTTGCTTGTGTGCATACATTTCAGGATACACACAAGCAACAATACACACAATCTGTACACTCAGCTTAAAGCTCACAGGTACTTTTTTTTTGCATGAAATAAAAATTGTGGAATGGTTAGTGTGTCATTAAGATGTTTCCACCAGAGCTTTGACGGTTTCTTCAGAGTTGTTTTCTGAGCTGTCACCTTATCCCCAGCTTCCCTCCTCTCCTTTTCTTGGAGTCACATCTTGGAGACTGATGCATGAGTCAAAGAGACTGGCAGCAGCACAAGTGAGATTGTGATCATTATCACATACAAATGGTTCAATCAACTTTTAAAAATATTTATTTTGAATAGTTTAATATTAGGTACTAGATTTTTCCCTTTTAACAGGGCTTCACTTACATGAGCTTGATAAATCCATACCTCAGCTACCCTCATTGCACTTTTAGGTGCCATATCATATAATATTTAAGATTCAGAATACCAGCATAATAGCCATACATATTTTTTTTTCAGGAACCTGAATTTATAGTATAATAGCTAACATACTACAGGTTCTTGAAATTCATGGGCTAGTTAGCACAGAGAGAAAAACAGTAAAACTGGAAAATGATGTGAAGGGAAATCTGAAAGGTAAGTGAGTAAGATTTTAAGGAGAAGCTGCTGCTTACTCCGCAAGAGAAAGTACAGCTCAGAACCAGATCAACCAAGTGGAAGTCTCTTGTTTAAACTTAGGCCATGAGCAGGCATTCATTTCCAGTGGTGGATATATTTCACTGCTAAAACTGTTTACAGGAAAGTGAGCAGTACAAGAATTCAATCTGCAATTGCCCCCTCGTCTCTGCTCCTCACACCTCCCACGGAGTGGGATGACTGTAGTTTGGGGAAAGTGCATGGAGCAGCAGCTGCTCCAGTCCTTCCATACCTGGGAGACCAAGATGTGAGGAGCAGAGGAGAGCAAGCAGCGGCTGCTCAATCCACTCAGCTCCCAATGCCTGAAAGAGTAGCCTAAGCAACATGGCAAAGCCCCTGCCCGCTCCTTACCCCGAAGACTCCGATGTAAGGAGCTGGCAGGGAGCAGGAGGCTGCTCCTCCATACCCCTCCCAGTCTACAGGAGCTGTCCCCTATACCCTCTCCAGACTGAAGTGACCCCAGCCTGGAGAAGGCCCAGGAGCCTTTCCTCACTAATCAACTCCTCCTGGTCCCTGGGAGGAATCAAGCAGTGGAGAAGTGTACAGGTGTTTATTCTTCTGAGTGACCTCTGCTGGGTCAGAGATGGGTTATTTTTCTCCTGGAACTACCATTTGTTCTGGAAGAAATGGTGTGAATGCCTGTACACTCATGGTTTCTATTGGAAGAGCTGTGAATTTCCAGTTACAAACACAATACCTGTACTTGGTTCTCATGGTTGTGGGTTGCCAATGAGCAGCACCTCAGCATGTTGGTTGCGCAAGGGGCGGGGGGAGCAAAGATTAATTGAAGTGTGAGTATTTCCAATGTCATTTTGTTTCTAGGATTTATTCAAAATCTAGTATTTTATACAAAGGTTGGATTGTATGAAAGTGAGTACACGTGACTTCTGCCTTAACAAGTGACCAGGTCATTTTTATTTTCGGCTGTTTGTGAAAGAGATAAAACTAATTTAATTTTGTTTACCAACCGCCCTGAAAAGTTATACATTTACTGGTCAATCTCCTGTCTGGTTCAGTTTTAACCTTCAATCATGACATTTAAGCAACTATCAGAAATACACCTTGGATTAAAAGATAATGTCCTTAGCTCAAATTATGAAAACACAGCCAGATTTTCTGTTTTGTTTAACCTGTATGGGGGGGGGGACTTTTATTAATTATTTGGTAAAATGACATTCTGTGAAGGAAAATACCATATGGAAATTGAGATACTGATTGCTTCATTGTTTAGAGGTAGTTCTATTCCCTAGCTGGTCACAGACATTCTGATGATCAGCAGATCCCTTCCTGCCAGAAACAACATATCCTTTGCTCTTGTGCTTTATTTTCTGCTAACAATGAGATGAGAGCTCCTTTGGATGACTCTTGCAATCTCTTCAGTAAGTAGCCCTTTTTACAAAATTTTCTCCAGGGACCTTCAACCCGACCCAAAAACAACTCCACAAGATGTGAAGAAACTTCCTGAAAATACAATGGACCTTCTGCATGAGAGGCCTAAAGAACACACCCAATCAGGTGGTCTATCTCCCCAACCAAATTCTTCTTTGTGGAACTCCCTGACTGTGTGTTATAAGGTGGGGGGAGGAGAGGGGATGTGAAGATTGTAGTGAAGGACAAGTCCTGAGCATCTCTTGTGGAATCTCTCAACAGAGATTATTATTCTTGCTTTTGTAAAAATCAACCATGACCCTTGGAGACAGAAATCCCATAACCAGAATAGAATATGTACAGAGCCACCGAACACTGTCCCACAAATGTGAATTTATAATGATCTAAAAGTATGTCAACATCAGACAACACCTCCATCAAGACATTTTTTTCATCTGTCCACTAGAAATGGGACAAGATCATCTATTCACATTGCAAAGGCAAACAGCCATAGGGTAACAGCTTTGGTTACTACCAAACTTGGACTCAACACTTGTACCTACAAATAAGCACAAGGTTTTTATTTTAATTCCTATTTCCCATTTCTAGTCATTAGAACCATTCAGTCTTAAGTTCGTTTTATTTTTGCCATAACCCCATATTACATAAAAAATGTAAATGACTAACCTCTTTCATTTTTCAGTTAACAGAATCATAGCCTTAGAAGGGACCTCAAGAGTCCTTTGGTCCAATCCCTGCACAAACACAGGAATGCTATTCCTAAACCATCCCCATCCAATGCTTATCCAAATTCTTCTTGAAAGTCTCTACCAAGTACCTTTCACATTTGAAACAAAAGTTGTTTTCTCTCTTCTTTATGGCAGCTTACCATATATGTAAAGTTTGTTATGACTGTTTTTCCTTGCATTGTTTGACATGGCCAGTGTGGTTGTCTTGTCTTAGAATAGCTTTTCTATATATGCCAAACTCAATGATTCTAAACAGTCAGTTTGCACATAGATATTTGAATCATTTTGGGGTTTATTTTAAAGTGATTTCCTGTTCCTGTGTACTCTCACATACCTCTGCTTTCACTACTTAATACTACTTGATGCCTTTGATTCATTTGAAGTTTTTTCTGTGTTTCATCCTCTTAGCTGTATGCATGACATAATCTGATTTAATTTTCTTTTGGTAAGTGGATCTGTTTTGATATGGCCATGCTCCTGATCATGCTGTTCAGTTCACTTGAAGCTGGGCCAGACTCAGGAAGTTCCTAGTTAGATGACTTGCTCAGGGTATTGAGGCTGCACCATCACGTTTCCTGTTTTCTAGCAATTTTAAATAATTTGATGCCATGTTTGGCATCTGACTGACAGGAAAGGAAACTGACAGGTTGGTGCCAGTTTTTGTATTTCTTCCTACTGGTCAGATGCAGTAGGACGAAAAGTCTAGATTTTCAGGAAAAACATCTGGGGAGAAACAGAAGAGCCCTGCTTCAGCTCCCTCCATTTCCTCAACCTGAAAATGAATGGGAGGGCAGACATCCTATGCAGCTCTTTTGTAATGCCATTCATATCCTTAATTCAACTCACCACACAGGTACGCAGAGGCTAATGGCCACTGCACTCAGTGGAAGGGAAATCATCAGCCCCAGGTTGGAGCCAGTCTTGGAAGATCAAAATGCTTGCTCAGCAGAAGCATACTGAATATATAACAAACTTCAACAAACAACTTCAAGTTGTTAAGTATAATTTAACTTGTAGCATTCTGTCTTATATTCTGTTTGCTGATGAGTGGCTTGATCATTTCCTAACCTACGCGTATTTCCCTTTGTTTCTGATCTTAATAGCTGTGCTCCCCAGCTCATCACTTTTACTTTTGTCCTACAATGCCCGTCTTCCTCCCTTCATCTTTCCCATGATCCAGTTCTTATTCCCCCAGCCATCTGTATTTGTACTATTCATGCCCCATTAACAATATACAAACAATCCCTCACAGCCAACCAACCACCACAACCAAAACGAAGACCAAACCCTATATATGCACACCCACACAAGCCCCACTTGCCCTGAGACACATCTTATTACTGGTTACTGACATTAACAAATTGTGATCATCACCCTATTTCTATGCTACTTTCCTTTTTTTTTGGCTTTTCCATTTAGATTTCAAATTTTTTGTCGGCTGTCTCTTACTATGTGCTTGTACTGTGCTTAACACAAGGGTCCACAATTCAGCTGTGGCATCAAGGCACCACTGTAATAAGTTAACATATAACAATACACAATCTTAAGCATCTGAATTTGCTTGTTTCACAGTTGCTCTGGGCCAGGCCTTTGCTTTCAGCTGATTTGATTGGATAACCCCACTTTAAAACAGGTGGCCAAGAGAAAAGAATTCTAAATGAGGAAAGACATCCTCTCCTGAAGTTACATAGTAGTGGATCACTATAGAGACTGGAGTGGAATTTCTAAATATGCCATATTTACTCAAATCTAAGATGAAGTTTTCCCCCCAGTCAGCATAGGGGGAAGCCCCTCACCTTACAATCATGTACAAGGCAGGGGAAGGAGGGGCAGGAGCAGGAGATTGTTACAACTCTGACTCTGGACCTGAGTATAGGCCAGGGCCAGAGTCAGACCCACAGCAGCTTCCTGCCCCCACTCCGTTTGCCCTCTGCAGCTGCTACTCCCAATCCCCACCCCTTACTGTCAGGTGAAGCCTGGCCCTGGCCTAGGCTGGATTACCTCCTGACACAGACCACAAGGAAACTTCATCCCCTACCTGGCCAGTCAGCAGCGCTGCTGCTGCTACTGCTGCTTCTGTGTGGCCTTCCACATTCTGTACTTCCACATGCTGTGCTCTAGGAAAGAACAGAGCCCCAAGCAGCATCTGACAGTAAGGGTGACAGACAGGGGAGACAGAGACTGTGGGGAGCAGACAGAAGAGGCAGAGGTTGCGAGGAGTGGGTGGGCGAAAATTTGCACAGATTGTGGTGGGGGGTGGAGGAAAGGTGCAGAGATTGTGGTGAGTAGGAAGGGGTAATGGTTGTGGGGAATAGGTGGGGGAAATGGGCAGAGATTGTGGGAAGCTAGGAGGTGCAGGATGTGGAGGGGGCTTCTGCCTGGGGAAGAAGCTGAGAGGGGAAGAAGGCAAGGGGCTGAATGAGCCCTCCCCCAGCCATCCGGCATTCCTCCAGCCACTGCCTTACCTGCTGTAGCAGCTGGGTGGGGATGGGAACAACTTTAAGACAACCCACCAGGAGTTAGATTCTATACCTGGAAAATTATAACAAGTTTATAAATATTCCATATATAGAATCTAATTGAGAGATTGTCTCATATTCAGAGTTGCCTTATATTACGATAGTTGGATGATTTACAGGGACTGAGTTTGTAGTTTATTTTGCAGTTGAATATCACTGGCAAGCTCTGACCCCCCTTAGATAGGTCTGCTCCATTCTAAAAGATAGTATCTCAGAATAATAGAAAATTAGGGTTGGAAGGGACCCTCAGAGGTCATCTAGTCCAACCTCTTGCTCAAGGCAGGACCATCCCCAACTAGATCATACCATCCAAAGCTTTGTCCAGCTGGGTCTTAAAAACCTCCAAGGGTGGAGATTCCACCACCTCTCCAGGTAACCTGTTCCAGTGCTTTACTACCCTCCTAGCAAGAAAATTTTTCCTAATATCTAACCTTGTCCTTGTTGAACCTCATGAGATGCCTTTTGGCCCAATCCTCCAATTTGTCTAGGTCACTCTGAATCCAAGCCCTACCCTCCAGCGTATCTACTACTCCCCACAGCTTGGGTGTCATCTGCAAACTTACTGAGGATGCACTGTGTGCCATCTTCCAGGTCATTGATGAAGACATTGAACAAAACTGGCCCCAGGACCAACCCTAGGGCACTCCACTTGATACTGGCTGCCAACTAGACATCGAGCCATTGATTACTACCTTCTGAGTCCGATGCTCCAGCCATTTTTTTATCCATCTTACAGTGCATTCATCCAGCCCATACTTCCTTAGCTTGCCTGCAAGTATGTTGTGGGAGACTGTATCAAAACCCTTGCTGAAATCAAGATACACCACATCCACTGGTCACCCTTCATCCACAGAACCAGTCACCTCATCATAGAAGGCAATCTGCTTGGTTGGGCATGAGTTACCTCTGGTGAATCCATACTGAATGTTCCTAATCACCACCTTCTCCTCTAAGTGCTTAGAAATGGATTACTTCAGGATCTGCTCTAGGGACTAAGATGAGGCTGACTGGTCTGTTGTTCCCTGGATGTTTCTTTTTCCTTTTCTTAAATATGGGCACTATGTTTGCCCTTTTCCAATCATCTGGGACCTCTCCTTATTTCCATGAGTTTTCGAAGATGACAGCCAACAGCTCTGTAATCGCATCAGCCAACCCCCTCAGCATCATTGGGTGCATCCTGTCTGGCCCCATGGTCTTGTATATGTCCCACTTTTCTAAATAGTCCCCAACCTGTTCTTTCGCCATTGTTGGCTACTCACCTCTTCCCCAAACCATGCTGCCTGGTGCAGTAGTCTGAGAGCTGACCTTGTCTGTGAAGACTGAAGCGAAGAAGGCATTGAGCACTTCAGACTCTTCTGCATCCTCCGTCACAAGGTTGCCCCCCGCATTCAGTAAGGGACTCACACTTTCCCTGATCCTCCTCTTGCTACCAACATACTTGTAGAAACCCTTCTTATTACCCTTTATGTCCTTTGCTAGCTGTAACTCGAGTTGTGCTTTGGCTTTCCTGACTTCATCCCTGCATGCTTGAGCAATGCTCTTATACTCCCCCCTATTTATTTGTCCAAGTTTCCACTTCTTATAAGCTGCCTTTTTGTGACTTAGTTTACCCCTCCTCCCAGCTTAATAGTTTTGGTGGCAGTGCAGATTGGTATCAAAAAACCAAAACCAAGACATGTTCTGATGCAAGAAGCATTCAAACAGCTTAAAATCTGAGGTGGACCATTTAGTATAATTTTGTGTCATGACTGCTGCCCTCATCTCTTCTCCTCCCTCTCATCTCTTTTTTATTTGAATTGTATAACACTGAAATTATATTGTAAACTGTTCACAGAAACTTTTACTGGCAAGTTAATTAGTATATACTGAGTACCACTGACGGACCAGGGCTCTGAGGGCCCTGTTCACACAGGAGCAGATTATATATATTGCTGACTCTTCCTGATGGCCAACATTTTCAAACCTCACAAGCCTAAACTCTGAACTAAAATTCCATATTCAGATTCTTGCATAAAAGACTGGGAACACAGCTTTTCAAAGCATACCTACAGGCTGGGGAACTCCCTTCTTGTCAGTGCAGAGGCAGAAAAGGATCTTGGAGTCGTTATTGATGCCAAGATGAACATGGGCCGGCAGTGTGGGGATGCAGTCAGGAAGGCCAACCGCACCTTGTCATGCATCCACAGATGCATCTCAAGCAGGTCCAAGTTGGTGATCCTCCTCCTCCATGCAACACTGGTCAGACTGCAGCTGGAGTACTGCGTCCAGTTCTGGGCGCTGCACTTCAAGAGGGATGTAGATAACATGGAGACGGTCCAGAGGAGGGCCACTTGCATGATCAGGGGGCAGCAGGGCAGGCCCTACAAGGAGAGGCTAAGGGACCTGAACCTGTTCAGCCTCCACAAGAGAAGGCTGAGGGGGGATCTAGTGGCCTGTTACAAACTAGTCAGACCAGGGACCAGCAGGCTTTGCGGGAGTCCCTGTTCCCCCGAGCGCTACCAGGAGTGACTAGAAATAACGGTCACAAGCTGGCAGAGGGTAGATTCAGACTCGATATCAGGAGGCGCTACTTCACTGTCAGAGCAGCTAGGATCTGGAACCAACTTCCAAGCGAGGTGGTGCTGGCTCCTACCCTGGGGGTCTTTAAGACAAGGCTAGACAATCACCTTGCTCGGGTCGTTTGAGCCCAGTACTCTTTCCTGCCATGGCAGGGGGTCAGAATTGATGATCTGCTCAGGTCCCTTCCGACCCTACTAACTGTGAAACTATGAAAGGGTCTAAGTTTCCGCTACCTTCTGCTGATTTCAAATAAATATAGTACCTCTCATTAGGCTGCTTATTTTGATTTTTAAGTATTAATGTAGTTACATAACTTTGGCAATTTTGAGATTACTGCAGCTGGCAACTGGAAGAGGTTATGTTATGGAAGAGGTTATGACAGCTATGAAAAGGATAAAATATCTGTGAGTGCCAAAATGAAACTACACAGAAAGCTCAGCATTTAATAGCTGCACATAGTTAAGGGAGACAGAACTGCTGCAGTATACAGTAGTGCCTGAAGGGAATTCTTTGAATTTATAAGTAACCTTTGTAAGAAATTATTTTTACTTGCACATTTATTTAGCTTTTCACATTCAAAGATGTCACAAATTCCATGATATTTGCATACAATGTCCCTAAATAGCTTAGTAATAATTCAAAAAGACAAATTCTGAACACTTAAGTTTATCTTACAATTGGTAAAAAACCAAAAAAATAAACCAAATTGGAGAAATATTGGATATTATAATTTGTAACAATTGCCTATAAGTTTTCAATAAGACAAAGTAGGTTGATGAAAAAGGAATAAAATGCAAAAGAAAACAGAAAATGCCAACTATCAAAAGCAAAAAGAAGAAAAAAATTATTACTGGATTGCTAATACAACCACTTTTTTTAACATTTCTGAGAAATTAAAAGGCAGCAACAACTAATATTTCTATAAAGCAGGTTAGAAGACATATTTAAAAATATTTGCAGGAAATATTTTAACTGTTCTTTAGTTCAAGAACAGGGAAAGAGAATACGCACATCATGACAAAACCATAGTAATCTTACCATGTGAGTGTTGGCTGTCATTAGCTGAGGATAGGAAGAGAAGCAAGTAGCAAAAAGGAAAAAAAAAAAAGCAAGACACAAATAAAATAGACCAAAAATATTAATGTGTAAATAAATGAAATGCAAAATGGTCCTTAAACTTTGTATTCATGCCACTGTAAAGTAGGTAGATATGACTTAATTGTTTATTTAAAAAAAGTAAAATATTAAACAGTCATGTAATTCTACTATGAAGAACTCATGTAGTTCTATTCTATTGAGTTCTTGCATGACGTTCATCACCATGGTATCAAAATATCAATCTTAAAAAAGTCTGTATTAAAGAAGTCTAATTACCCAGCTTTTGATGAGTAATATGTTAATCATTTACATTAACGGACATACAAGATTTAACTTTTGGCACTATGTAGCTATTTTCTACTCACATACTGCTGGTTACCAATATACTGGCTATTATTTTTGCTAAGTACAGACAACTTTTCTAACTTACAAAAATATACAAAAAAGTGTTGTGTCTACTAAAAAAGCCTTTGTGACAACAGTGGGTTTAATTTAATAAACTAAGCCTATGTAAGTGATGACAGAACATTTAAGGTTTTAAAAATTAGTTTTTTTTTATTTCTCATGTCTATTTTGATCTCAATACTAACCTGTCCATTGCTGCTAACAGATGTATTTTCAAACAAGAAATAGGCACCAAAGAAAAATACCATAGCATCGAATACTCCCAGAAATGTCCAATAAATGAACACACGCCAGCGCAGAAGAGCATTCTTGGCAATATCCCTGAATAAAACAAGATATATGTATTGATATAGTAAAAAAAATCCAAGAAATAAAAGCAGTCATATTATTATATAAGAAGAAAAAATGAAAAGAACATAGTTGGAAGAACTTCTTCACATTTGGCAAGTTTCTACCACTTTGACATTCAAAGCTTTCCTTAAGTTGTTTTCTCTTGTCTAAACTTTTATGACTGCTTACTGGCTATTGTTCAGCCAAGTCTCACTCTGATAGTAAATTCTGTATTTCTGCTGCATGAGTTCAGTTTAGATCTCAGAGATGGGACCTGTACAAAACACAAGTTTTTGTTGCATACTGATGACCCAATATATGTAATAAACAGGAACACTAGAGGTCTCTCAAGGTTTTTCTTTCTTTCCTTTTTACTTTGTAAAGACAAAGAGTGCAACAAGAAAACAACTACTGTATGCAACTTTAAAAATCAGGACTTTGTGATGGAATCACTTCTACCCAAAGAGTATTAACATAATGCTTTCTTAGAGAAACTCTGATAGTTTAACACAAGTATTTGCTGAAGTAAATTCTCTCATTGCATACAAATGTGTATATGCCTAGCTCTCATTCACAGGTAATTGGGATCTGCCTTATGATAAATGTTTCAGAGCGAAACTGGACATAGACAGTAGAGTGTGTGCGTGCACATGTGTGCATGTACAGATGTCATTCTGAATTATATAAGTATACACAGCTGATGGAAATGAACTCTTCTTTACTATCTCACTTTTCAACATTGATTATTTCATTCAGTGTTTTCACCCAGACACATTTTAAAAACACTCTGCCTTATGACCATTTAAATAATGTTTCACCCTAAGTAAATTACCCTACTCAATAGTACTTTTTTCCCCAAAAATGTCTTACTCTGAACAGCTAAAACAGTATCATGTAGCTTAAGATAATAAGCTCAGACAAGAATATCTGGTGGATATGACTGGATATACTGTGCTTTCAAAACATAGATAAAAAGGCCACACTCCAAAAAAATATAAATTTTAGTTAAAAATATTAAGTGCAAGAAAGTGCTTGTGCTTTCAATGGCCATATATGGTATTGCCCTTAGAACATAAGCATTCATTCAACTGTGAAGTAAATATCTGAATTTCATATTACTTTTAAATGTTTACCTTTTAGAAAACCAGTATTACCATTGCAAAAAAACATCTTTTTCCCCGCTTAATCTGCCATTACTGCCCTCAAAATAATACACTAGCTTTGCAGCTCCAGCAATTAAACTGGGCACTCTTCCTAATGTAGACTGCCAAATGCTGTTTACTGGCAGAGACAGCCATCCAGTTGGCTGAGACAAGTAATCTAAAATAGTCTTAGCATTATTGCACTGCAATAGTGAACAGTATGCAGTCAACCATGTCAGATTCATTGCAGAAAGGATCCTGGAGCACATATACCTGATAGTATCTGGCAGCCTGAAATACATTCGGCTTATCTGCAAACAGCAAAAATGACTATGGGGCACATGAAAGGTTCAAGTGAAAAACTAGTACACATGTACCTACTGTGAAAAACAAGATGCTGCCATAGAAGCCAGCTCTAAGTTTTAGTTACACCAAATACTACTAATATCAGCAAAAGGCAAGGAGCTCATTGATGGAACTGGAGTCCAACAAAGATAAGATTCAGGGGAAAAGAGAGGGGGAAATTACAGCACAGTCTCTTTTCCATTTCAAACAAAAAGATTTTAAATAGGTGTTATGATGTGTGTTTTTTCTAGAAAATTTTTGCCCTCCAGCTGTAAAGAACAATATTAAATACTAAACTAACACATTTTTAAATGAATCGGTGCAATATTCTTCTACAATTCTTAGCTCTCATTCCAATACAGTGCATATACAGCTATTTAAACATACACATAATATACATGCAAAATAATCTGTATTGCGCACTGTATCCATGCATCTTATGTTCAGTCTTTTTCAAAACATCACAATAGTACCATGTTTGCAGCATCTGAGGTGTAGCACATGTGACTGCTATTTGAAGTTGTCCTTATCCTTTGCAACAGAAATACTGAATCATAAGTGAATTGCACCTAAATAGCCACAAAAATTGGGGCTTATTAGCTTTACCTGTACAGGGTAGGTTCTCTCTTGAGCATGTCTGCCCCAATATGCTGTTCCAGTAGACTGTACAAAAGGATGGGAAGGGAAGTGAAGCTGATATTGTACAGTGTAAGATATGCAGTATCATATAAAGGCTGCAGATAGGGAAAAAAGGTGTCATATTAGCTGTATTTTTAACAAAAAAAAATTGTATTGTGATTTAAAGGGAAGGATTTAACTTGTTTAGAGTCACAAAAGTGCAGTCATGAATTAAAACCCCCACATGTCATCCATGAACAATGGCTTAGGGGTTATATACCATCTGGGTATATCCAGATTGCTCTGCAGCTGACAACTGAGTGGCCTATACCACTCAGTGGCTTGAGTGGCTCTTGCTCTATTCCAGCTGTGTACAAGGGGCTGTAAAGGTATCTTAGCTGGGCAACTGAAGATTCTCTTTCTGGCACAGCCATCACATTCCCACCCTCCTTATGCACACAATGAAGGGGCATGATGGGCAGTGCCATGGCAGGAAGTGTCGCTGTACTCCAATGATCCCACAAAGAACCACAACATTGCTGCCTGAGGGGCTGTAATGAATTGCTATAAGAAACACTGTTTCAGGCTCCCCTCAGGAAAAAGGCTTGAACCCACATCTCCTAATTCTTAGCAAACTGTCCTAACCACTAGGATATGAAACGAAGAGCCAATAGCACCCTCTAGCTGCCTGATGATGCTGGCATACTAGGAAGCCAAGATGTGCCCAGAGGAAGCATGGTTTAGTGAGATGGAAAACAGGGGGGCTGGATTCTGACTCTTGTCCCAGCATCTGGCCTCAATGGTGTTCCTGCATTGTGCTTTTACCAGACATTGGATAAAATGGATACACAGCAGTGTCAGCAGGAGCCAGAACTCAGAGCCCCCTGGGTTAGCCACATAAGTGCTACTTATCAGCCTGAAGGTGGAGCTGAGTTAGAGACTAACACTTGTTGTTTTAAAATGTAAAAATCCCACTCAGTTTAGGAGGAAAAAAATGAGAAATGTTACCAGCCAAATCCCATTACCACATGCTAATCAGACAAAGCTTCATAAAATGTTAGATAGGTTTCAGTGTGTACCTCAAGCTAGTTTCACTCAGTTTCTTATCTTGCAGGAGCTTTGTGTGTGGTAGAAGGAATGCTCCCTTTTTTCTACAACCATTACTTTATTTTCTTCCACTCACATCAGGAGAGAGGAGATAACCTACTAGTTTAACTTAACTGGACACATGGAGTAACTGAGAGCAGCAGCAGCTGAGCAAAGAAACAAGAATTTAGATGAAAGATGTTTATGCCCTCTCCAGAGTGCTGATTTATTATTTGTGGTAATCAAGCCCCCTTTTCCCCTAATCCCTGTGTTTGCTTTTCTTTTCCTACTACTGATTTCATTAGCGGGAGGTCTCAGGTTCAGCTTCAGAGGACCCTAGAAACCAGTCAGCTGTCTCCTGCACCCTCATCCCTACTTTAAAGACAAGCTGTTATTTCATATCCATATCCTTCAAACAACTTTCTCCTTTTGGTGAGTGAAATCTTAAGGCAAAGTTTGAATTGCAAATTTTCCAAAGAGATTTCACTTTTCATGAGTAGTTCTGAGCTTGGTTTTCCATTATATCTTTGACTCAAAAAATAAACATGAGTTTTTTGATAAAATTCATCTAATTCATTTTATTAGTATGACTGCAACGACCACTGATAGCTGTGCTAACCAAACATGATATTCTTCCTTAGAGAAGTTCAAAATAGTCATTTTCTTGCCTACTTACTGCAATGAGAATAAGGACAAATTGCTTTTAATTAAAAAAGGTTAAAAAAGGTTTAGAATAAGTAGAAAAATTGAATGTTTGACTAACCTGTTGTGAAAATCCACAGAAGAATTGATATAAAAACTGAGGAAAAATGAAGCAGACATTCTGGAAGACAAAGTAATAGCATTATTAGGGGAAGTCTGACCAAAACATTTCATAGTATTATAATGTGCATATTTATAACAATGTATAATGCCAATAAACAGTACACACATACACATACACTGTATAGATATTATAAGTAGGATAGAAAAAAGCCTTAAGAGATTTATTGAAACAGGACATTTACACTCTTGTTTCTTAGTACTTACAGAATAATATTTTAAAGGGAAAATTATATTTAACAAAAAAAAAAATCAATTGTCAAGTTGGAAAAAATGAATTATGACTAGGAACACATGGGAGACAGAATATAACATCCTCAGTAGGACTCAAGGAATGGATATATACTTGTACCCACTTCAAAAGAGGAGGAGGAGGAATTCCTGCTTGGGAGTTAGCAGCAGCTTTTATGGTATAAATGTTATATCTGTATGTACCTGTATACGAGTAAGCTAAATTGCCTCAATGTCAACCCTGGATGAAGCAGGGTTAAAATTGGAACAGTTTTGCTATAGTTATAGCATAACAGGTCCTGAGCAGCAGGTCCTTCTCCCCTATGAAGCAGCTACAAGTCTATGTTTGTCCATAATGAACAACTAAGCTAAGGAAAAAAGTGTTTACGCTCTGTTTCAAGCATGAGTCTAGATAAACAATGGTAGTTTTTAACAAGCGTTAGCCAGTCATTTTGGACATAAACCAGATACCAGAGGAGCACTGATACATCAGTCCAATATCGGATCAGTACACATATAAAGAAAACTGGCTGTATCAGATACTGGCCTGATGGGGCTGATAATTGGGTCGAGAGATGCCTGTGCTGTGTGCAGCTGGAGTGCAGCACACAGGCAGCGAGGAGCACAGCCGGCAGCATGGAGAGTTGCTGCCAGCTGGTAAGTCCGGTGTGATGGAAGGGATGGGGAGAGGGCAGGGCATGGGAGGAGCAGATAAATGCCCCCCACGGTGTGGGACAGGGCAGCGGCAGGCACTGCCCAGGTGGAGCGGGGAGAGGGGGCTGAAGCTGTGGCTCCTGGGGGGGAGTGGCTCCTGCTGCTGCTTGCACCCTGGGAGGGCATGGGGGAGGGGGGGAAGCATGTGCCCCCTGGATCTGCGTGGGGCTGGGTGGGCTGCAGCGGGGGCTGTGAGGGGATCTACAGTGGGGGCTGGGCTCAGAGTGGGCACTGGTGGTGCTGGGAGGATGCTGCATCCACCCCAAATTTCACTGCCGCTCCACTCCCAGCATGTGGGTGGAGGCAAGGCGTTGAGCTGGGGCTGCACCAGGCGGTAGCGGTGCTGGGAACAGAGTGGCGGCAAAATTTGGGGTAGATGCAGCATCCTCCCAGCGCTGCCGACACCTGTGCTGACTCCATCCCAGCCCCTGCCAAAAAGAGCCCCGCGTTCCCCTGGCTGCAGCCCACCCCACCCCACATGGATCTCTAGGGTGCCCCCTCCGTGCCCCCTGCTGGGAAGCAAGCAGCAGTGGGAGCCACCACCCCCACCATAAGCTGCAGCCCCCACACGCCCTCACCCTGCTTCAGCAGAACCTGCCTCCTCCCTCACTGCAGGGATCCTGATCTGCCCCCCCATTCCCCTTCCCTTCTCCCTCCCCTTCCATGATACTGGACTTACCAGCTGGTGGCAGCTGCATAGGAGATCAGATTGGTATCAGCTGATATGCCTCCTTAAATATCGGCTATCAGTATTGGCCCCAAAAATCTCTACCGGTACACCCCTACCAGATGCTGGTTTTTTTACCCTGCCACCTCCATCCATATCAGCCAATTGAACTTAAAATGTTAAATGCTCTATCACGCAGCTATGAGCCCACAATACACACCCAATATTTGGAGGGAGTTTAACAATACTATTCCTCAAACTTGATTTAAAAGGCGACCACATAGGGAACCTAGAAATTGTTCATGTTGGGGAAAAAGCAGCTGCTGGAATTCTCGAGAGGGAGAAGGTGATTAAGGAGAAAACGGGAATTTTACTTTTACCCATATTAAAAGGTCACAGTGAACATAAATAAAAGACATTTTACCTGTGGTGATGATAAGCAAAAACACTTGGGGATTGTATTACACAGGAGTCAACAGAATCTCTCCATGGAATAACTGTTTTGTACAGTTGATTGTATATATCACATATAGCTAGGTATTATCACATATGTGTGTGAATTAAACAGTAAGAACAAATGTCACGCTACCTTATAAAAGAAGTATTGCACAAGTTCTGATATCCTCACATAATAAAAATGCCCATGAACAAGTAACATTTTTTTCAAATGTTTAAATTTAGGTATTGCATAGTCACTATTTCTTGCAGCCTGACGACCTTCCTTTCCAATGACTCCTAAAAACAAACGGTTGATAGAAGCTGAGTAAACAAAAGAAGTATTAAAGGATATACATGAATATCTGCAAAGTTGCTGCCCATGCTGCATTGTTAATGAACTATTATTAGATTTCACAATACCATATAATTACTTGGATTTTGTATAGTAAGTTACCTAAGAAAACAGATAATTCTTTCAAACAATGCCTTTCTCATGTATATTTGTATTACTATGAAGTTACAATGTAAATTGTAAACTTACCTATACCAACATGTGCTTCAAGAATCATACTGACGTCATTTGCTCCATCACCAATTGCTAATGTGATAGGATGTTCCTTAGATAATTTAATCAGTTTTACAATCTGGATTAAAAAAACCAGCATTAAAAACCTCTTCTTTGATACTTCTATAGCTAGACTATTTTGTAACATAGAGCATTTGGCACTTAATTAATTAGCAAGCAGTATGGTTAAAAGAAAATCAAAAACCCAAAAAGTCCTGGTCAACTCAACTACTAGACATTAAAAATCATCAGGTATTCTCAAATCCAGATTGCTCTCTCAAATGCAAATTGCTCTCCTTAAGTAGGAAAAAACTCTTTAAAACTTTTCTTGTGAGCAAAATCAACAACATTAATTGTAAACATTGATTCTAGAAAGCTTCTTGCATAGTAACAAACAACTTCTTCCAGTTTCTACAACCTTTTCATAACAATTCTCTGTACATACAGGCACACAGACAGGCTCTGTGTATGAATACTTTTCAATTAAAATATATCCCAAATGCAATCATAGACCTATTATGAGCTGTAGGCACATTTTGTTTTTTTTAAAAAAGTCTATTCAAACTAAAGACTTTAATTTTTTTTCCTGCAGTTTAAAATAAAAGTGACTAGCTAATTAGGCTAAATGAATGTGCATGTATGCTGTACATGTGTATCAAGGCAAAAATACTCAGTGTTGGATAAAATACATGAATTTTCCAACAGTTTAGTGTCTTTAAAAAAAAGACTATATTTCCTTACACTGGAAGTATTAATATTTTTTACAAACTAAACCCCATATTAAATAAGCCTTTTATTTGGGAACATATAAAGCAAATTTGTATATTCATGTTAACACCATTGAGATGTTTCAGTAATGGGGAAAAATACTTTTAAACTAATGTAACAAAAAATGCTAACAAAAAATAGTAAACATATTAAAGAATGTATGTGCCCAAAAGCTTGTACAGAACAGTTTTCCCAACTATTTAGTTGGGCTAATAAAAAAATATAACATTTACCCAAAGAACCTTGTCTGCTTAAAGAATTTATAGAATCTACTTGCTCTATTTGGACTTAACTTTTTTTGTGTTTCAGTTCATGTTTCCAATGTACATTGTAATATCAGTAGAAGATGAAGCACTTAGTTCAGTTCATTTAATATGTTCATTAATCGGCATGTTTGAGCCATCAAACTTGAATATAATGCACATAAATCACAATCAGATGCATAGTAGGGTGTCATTTTAATGTGCCATTACCTAAATTGCTTTTTACAGAAATTCCCCTCTCATTCTTTTTCTAATTTTAATTTTTTTTCCACTTTAAAGTCTAGAAAATTGAATGCTAACAATTTTGAATGCCCATGTCACACAAAAGTAACAACATTCAATATTTACCCAGATATACTGTTAACAATAATTACCAAATGAAACAAACCTGTGCTTTCTGCAAAGGCGCCATTCGACAGCATAACACTGCACTGCAGTTTCTGCAGATTTCAAGGAAGAGTTCTCTGTAGTTACCCGAGCTCCCATCTTCTCTGGGTTTCATTATTAATGATAATGCTGCTCCATCAATAATTAAACCATAATCGTGCATATCAGCTGAAAGTCTGTTGAGGGGGAAAACACAAATAGAGTTAAATAACTAAGAGTTACTGTGAAATCATTTTGAGTTTTGATTTGGCAGTGGTTTGTAGCACTAACTTACTTATGAACAGGGAACCTGGTTTTCTCTGATAAAAAAAATCCTCAATTTTTGGATTTAAAAAGTAACACAATCCACATTTTTCCATGATGAAAATGAAACACCACTAATATAGAGACAAATGAAATGCCACTCTCTCTCTCTCTCTATATATATATCTATATATTTGTGGTGTTTCATTTTCATCATGGAAAAATGTGGATTTTGGGTTACTGTTTTAAGTTGAAAATTGGAGATTTTTTTCATTAGAGAAAACTAGGATCCTCGCTTATGAATAAGGAGGCTTAACGAAAGAATGGTATCAAGATTAAAATGCACTTAACATGAAAACTTGTTTTTTCTGCTACTAGCAATTTATTGTAATATTCTAGCTTATTTTTTGGTCATCTGGTTTACTTGTTTTCCCATTTTACCACCTTGCTTGACTAATGAAACTAGACAGACTCAGTGCAGGAAGGAGTTTGATTTTTTAAGGGCCAAAGAAGCCTGGTGCTAGCTGACCCCTTCCAAAAGCATGGCAAGCTCAGGTTGGGTGGGAAGGTCTGGTCTCAGGTCACAAAGCAGAGAATGATGCACTGAAGTAATCTTTGCTCAGAGTTGGAACAAGCTTTGTGTTTTGTTATCCTGGACATTTTTGTGTTTGACAGAAGGATCCAAAAGACACTTAAGTCTGGTGTTAGTACTTAGGAGATGAGCCAGAAGTTTGTACTTAAGTTGCCATCACTCCTATGACTGCAGTACAGTCATGCTGACAGGCCTAAGCTAGATATTTTATAGCTAACTCAGCTATGTTTACATTATAATGTACAGTGTAGATACACAGAACACAGAACATTTCATTTATGTTCTTAATAGCAGTAGGCTACTATGTTTGGGCTTCCAACAGTGCAAGGGATTGCTTATATCAAAGATGAAACCACAGTGGGATTAAAATAAGACAAATATAAATGTAAAATTAACTGAAAAATGAAATAACCAATGAATGAAGAATTTTCAAGTAAAGAAATCTGAGAGGTTTGACTGAACATACCCTATGAGCTCCTGACAAGACACACAAGAGGGTTTTTCTTCTAAAATAAAAATGTGTTTAATATCTTATTATATATACTACATTGATTTTATATATCACTTCAAATATATGTACATACACACAAGTAATGAGACACAGGGAAAACCATTAACTATTAGTTAATGCTTAGCAAGCCAGACTCAAGCAGCCAAGACTCATGTCTGGATTTTCTGCCAAAACATTACATTACTTGCTATCTTACTGTGATGAAATTGAAAATGTATCATTGGAACCTCATTTTTAATTTTAACATATACATTTTTAAAAAGAAGAAAGTCACATAGTATTAAACTTATAAAATTAGAAGGCTCAGAAGCTACTGTCCACTCTCTGACTCATCGTATACTCCAAATGTCTTAGTTAGAATCTTTTTAAGCATTACAGCCCGTCTATAAGGTTTAATAAGCCCCCAAACCTTTTTTAGAACGGAATGGACATCTACTGATAGCTACTGTGCTTAAATTCAAAATCTAGTTTATTTTGCAGTAGCTTTCATTTCAATAAGCCCTAGTTCAGCTTCCAAATAACATTTGTCCCTCTCTCTAACTATCCTTTTCCTCCCTGGCACATTTCAAACAGGTGAACCCAACTTCTCTTCCCCATGATCGCCTCCTTTCCTCTGAGTCACTGAGTACCTATAATATGATTTCTAGTTCCCATGTCTTCATATTTAAACCACTAAGTTTTCAAGTTCTTACAAGGTACAGTAGAACCTCCAGTCTGCATGCTGTGTCCCACATGCATATAGGTGTGCTCTCACCCTCTTAATTATACTACAGGGGCATGGTTTTATCTGGGCAGCACAGAGTACACTAATCTTAACACAGGAATGTACTATTTTCTGTATATTTTTAAACAAAAATAACTTGTATGTTCCATTATCATAGTTGTTGTTCATGATCAATCTCTCACAATGGAAAATATAATTGGAGAGAGATATTTTAAACTATTAAGAACATTCTCAAAAGTAATGTTCCAAGACAAAGAGTGTGAAGATTGAAGCCTACATTCAGTGTACACTTCTATGCCACAACAGTTCTTGTTCTATGCAACAACTCACACTGGAGCTCTTCATCTATTTTATCAACCATTCAAATAATTATAAAATGTTCAGCCAGTGTTCTTTTGGTTTGAAAGATGAACTTTCTACATACCCTGAGAAGCTGTCCCTGGTTAAGCTGCCACTTTGCCTAAGGACAGTTTTGCTTAGGTCAAACAGCACATCATGTAAACTTTGTTCCTCAATTTTCTTCGTGGTTAGCTCAAGTATTTGTGTGTTTCTTCTGAAGAGCTTGCAGGCATAGCAAGTGGCTGCAGCAGTTTCCATTTTGTCTCCTGTCAGAACCCAAACTTTAATGCCAGCTTTCTGGAGTGCTTCAATAGTGTCAGCAGCTTTTTCTTGTAGTCTGTGGATATCAATTGAGAATAAATCCTGACGGACTGACTGGAAATGAGAAATTCAGGGTCTTTATTAAAAGACATACAGGTCAGAAACAGACATGCTCTTTGGAGCGTGATCAGCTGTGTCACTATGTTGCTGACCCACTTCACTGATGTCTAAAGACATCACCAAGGCTGTCATCCTGTATGGTTGGGACCCTGCCCCTCCTGGGGCTTTAGAGGCCCGATCCTATGGGAAAAGGGTGCCATGGCCTGACTTGGGGCATATGTCTGAAAGTGGGGGTTTCTCTGTGTCAGTGCACAAATACAGAGAGGGGAACCCCTATGGAAGTTTCCTTCCTCTATGCTTGAATCCTGTTGCAGGGGATTTTTTTGGTGTGCATTGCAGGTGCCGAGGGGGGAACTCCTCAAAAGGTTTCCCTTTCTGTGCCTGCAGTTTGGCTATTCCAGGGGAATCCCTCTGCAGGGCATTCAAGATAGAGGGGGAACTCCCACAGGGGTCCCCTGTCAGAGTTTGCACCTTGTACCCTGATTCAGGGTTTGGTATCATTATACATATGCCAGGGCTTGGTACTCTTCTCACTGCTGTGCCCCATGTTGGGGTGCTGTTTGCAAGCAGAGGGGGAAATCCCTATGGGAGTTAACCCCCACTCTACTTGTAGATGTTCACAAGAGGAATGATTGCAGGTGTGGGCCCTGTGTCGGGGTGATAAGGCACCTGGGGTCTTTTTCCCACAGGACCAGGCCCCTAAAGCTGGGTGAGTTCCTGCCTGGCATGGTAGCTGCCTGCACTCTCCTGCCATAAAGGAACAGATGTAGGCTGCTAAAAGGCAGCACAAATGATTACTAGGGTCATGACCACCACAAAATTTAAGCACTTGTGGTGCAACAAAGGACTAAGACATCTCTTTGACTTGCTTTTTGTGCTAACTGTTGGCACAAAGCTGACATGTGTTTTCAGCCAGTAAAAAGTTTTAAGCCATGGACAGACATGCTGTTTCAAGTGCCCTAAACAGCAAAAGATAGATAATGCACAGCCAAATAAGCCCTTCAGTAATGGCTGAAACACTTAAAAAAACAATCCTCAGAAAAAGAGGAACATTTTTGAAGGCCTCTAGCATCCCACAGTGTTCCCCTCCTCCACAGGGGGCCAGGGGACCCAAAACTTCTAGTGTTAATTTTTTTTTTTTTTAATGAAATGAGCTGGGTAGTATAAGGTTCCCTCTCTGCTCCAGGGAGAACACCCTTTGAATCTTATAAAGCTCTAATGATTCACCCTATTTCCTCAGAATTCTCAGCAAAAAAGTTAGCTTTTCCATGATCTCGCCAGCACTGGAAACAATGTTAATTTATTAGACTATTTTTTGTGTCTTTACGTACAAAAAAAGGAAGAATTCTATGAGAATCATTTGTATAAAGGTATCTAAATCTAGTGCAAGAGAGGAGAAGAAATCTTTGAGTGTCAGAGTCAGTTCTTTAGCTAACAGGTATTTCTTTTAATTCATCAGATCTGATATAAAGTATAGGTCCCACTTCCCCTTCTCATCTCCCCCAAAAAATCAAACAGGAAAACAAGAACCCCTCATATACTAACCGGTCTTCAACAGCTGTAGCACCAAGCAAAATAAGATCCTTTTCTATCTTGTCATATGCCTCTGCCAGTTTCTTTTCCCGATCCTGCAGGGCCAGCATTGAACTCTGAAGCATCTTGTGCAAAAAATCATACTCTTTGTGTGTGAACTTCTTATATGCAACACACAGTGTTCGGAGTCCCTCCTTAAAAATACCATCAAAACAAGAAATATCACTGGCCTCATGAAATAATTTCAGGGATTTTTTCTTAATGGAGTTTACATTAGGATAGTTCCAAGAATAAAAAGCATTTTGCAATTAATAAGATTTGCCCTTTTGATTTCTTTATGTTAGGTCAGGACAGGAATGTTAGCAGAGCAAGGGAAAATGATTTTACTAGGCCCTGGAGCAACAGATAAAGAGACTATGATCATCCAAATAGGGAGTAAACAGGCCTGGATCTATACCAATGCAGCATATACTTCTTGATATACTGGATCCGGCCTGTCGGCTGGGGTTTGAGGACCCCCTGATCTATTCTCTACTTGGTACCTTAGCTTTAAAGTTTCCTGTACACAAATGCACCAAAGCAAGTAAGAGCTGTGTTGAAATTAAGCAGAATGATGACAAGCTTTCAGAAGGCAGTATAATAAAAAACAAACAAACAAAAGCATAATTTTTGATGCAAGTATGGCAAATTTTTCTTCTTCTTAGTGACAGATATTATCTTTATTGCATATGCATGTGGTAGCAGAACTTTGCCTTACTAATAACTAAAACGAAACAGTTCTTAAGGAATTTATATTCTAGGTCTGACACAGAAAATCAAGGTAACTAAAGAAAAGGCAGGGAAATAAGAGCCAATAAGAAATAAGATAAAAAGATACTGCAAGTTATATGACTTGGTATATGTTATAAAGGTTGTGATTTTTGAAACTGACACCAAAGCAAGCAGAGTGAAGCAGACAGCACAGGATTGAAAGTCAGTGGTAGAAAGCAGAGTGAAAGAAATGGATTTTGAGCACAATAGAGGAAGGTCATTCTAGTTGTAAGGAATAAGTGGATGAGAACAAGAAGCAGTCATGAATGGGCAAATTGTAAAAGAGGGATAAGAAGATGTAGAATTCTACCAAGCTTTTAGTGACAGTGCACTTGAGCTTCATACAGAAAGAACAAAGAACCAATGGAGGGACAATAGCAGTACTGTCAGAAAAGGAAGACAGTTCCTGCTGTGGGATGCCAAACAGATTGAAGAAGAGTTTGTCAGTGAATTTTGAAATTATCCTGTTCTATAGGAGAGTGATTTGCATTATGATAGTTTGGACTATGTGCGTTCCGATGCATTAGTAGATTTTACTGGATGAAAAGAGGTGCATAGCGTGAGTTCTTTGTAAAGGGAAAAATCCACAATTCCAAAAAAAAAAAAAAAAAAAAAAAAAAAAAAAAAAAAAAAAAAA